CACCAAGTGAAGGTGCTTTAACTCCTGGCGCTGGGAGACAGCTGGGTTGGCCCCTGGCTCCTTATCACAGCCAGAAAGCTGGGGAGGAGGAGGGAGCCCCACTTTCTCTTTAGGAGTCTCCACGGAACAGTGATCTCACGCTGCCTTCTGCCTTCGCCAGCAGTCAACCCGACACGGTCCATCCTGCCCCATTTGCAGATGAGAATGCCAAAGTTCCCCTAGATGACGTGCCCGGCGCTGGCCTGTGTCATCCAGCAGGCCTGAGGTTGGGCCGCCACGGACCCTGGGATACTGTAAATTCAAGATCTCAGCCCAGGAAGCAGAGTTGCAGAAGGGAAAGGAACGGGATATTGCCCGCGGCTCTGCGGCTGCTGGCGCCCTGCCGCCCTCCCCCCAGCCGGGCCTAACCCTCCTGGAACAAAGACTCCGGGCCTCCAGCAGCCCTCCCCAGGGGGCCCAGTCTCTGCTAGCTCTTAGCAGTGGCCCTGACTTAAATGGAATCCAGGACAGTGTCCCTGAGCGCGTCTCTCTCAGCAGGGGAAAGGCCCAGGGTCCACACAGCCGCTCTACCCTCAGTGCTTCCCGGATCTCAAACACCTACTGACAGGCCAGCAGAACCCAGCACAGAGGCCAGAGCCAGAGAGACAGTACAGCGGGCTGGGCACTTGCCTCACACACATCTGACCCGGGTTCAATCTGCATATGGTCCCCCAAGCGCTGCCAGGAGTGAGCCCTGAGCATAGAGCCAAGCGTGAGCCCTGAACACTGCCAAGTATGGTCCACAAAACTGAAAACCAAAAAAAAAAAAAAAAAAATAGGCGGGGTGGAAGAAACAAAAGGGAAAGCAGCTTCCCCTCTACCTCCCCGCCAAATCCTGCCCTCTGAGCCACCTTGCAGGTGCTCCTATCTGTGTGTCTGGAATATTCCTCTGTGGCCGCCCAGGGTGCTGATGGCGAGTGTGACTGTGTTCTGAAGTGCTTCGGAATCTCTGGCGGGGGTGGGTGGGGGGGTGAATGCAGACTGCGGAGGGCTGTAGCTGTGACTCGGGCTTTGCAGAGATTGTATGTGGGGCTGGAGTCTGTGGAGGTGCCTACAGAGCTTCAGTCCCCCACTCTGCAGAGTCTCAGCCCTCCCCCCCCTACGCCTTCCCAAAGCCCCTCCAGCTCAGAGACCCCCCACAGTGAAGGCCCCATCTGCTAGAGGCTCAGTGACCTGGATCAAATGAGCAGGCACTTGGTCACACTCCAGAGCCTGGAGGAGGCCGTGCCACTCAGAGAAGCCGGGGCGCTCCTGGTCTGGGGGGTGGGCTGCACAGGGTCCTGCTGGGGAGGGGGGGAGCCTGAAACAGGCAGCCACAGCCTGGGAAGGAGCTGCTCTCCGCAGACATAGAGAGTGTTAGAGCCGCCCCTCTTCCTTGGCTAACGCCAAAGTGCGTGGACCGAGCTCTGGAGCAGGCGTGCCTGTCTTCTGAGCCCCTCTGCAGACGTGGCAGCTCCCGCGGGGTGCATCTGGGTGCCCGTGGCAGGTCAGGGGGGGAGACTGTGTGACGGTAGCTCTGCGAGGTATGGACTGGGTGTGCCTGTGCATGTGACTTGGCACACAGTAGGTCTTGTGTGTTTCTGTGCTGCAGAAGCAAAGCCTACTGGAACATATGGTGGCGGGGGGGAGGGGGTGTCTCTGCACTTGTCCATTTAGACAGCGTCCCACTGTGTGGCATGTGGGCCTGAATATCTGACCTGCACGTATGAGTCGACACGCCCCGATTGTGAATCTGGACAGCAGTGTCGGCGCTATCTGCGATGTGAGTACCTGTGGAGTGAGTGTGTGTGTGTGTGTGTTTCTGTGTGTGTTCTGTGTGTAAGTCTGTGTGTGTCTGTGTGTCTATGTGTGTCTGGTCTGTGTCTGTGTGTGTCTGTGTGTGTTTGTGTGTGTATCTGTGTGTCTGTGTGTGTGCATATGTGCACCCTCCGTTGGGCATCCCACACCCGTGGCCCAGCTCCTCCGGATAGTCTGGAACAGCGAAGCTCTTGCAGAGAAATGCCACTCGGCAGCCATAAGACTGCCCTCATGGGTCCCAGCCTTCCAAGTGGGGGGGACCCACAAACACACCTCTGGGACCAGCAGCAAGAAACATGCTGAGAAGGAGGAGGAAGTTTACCTCTCTAACACATGAAAATGCTGACTGCAGACCCACATCTTGGCAGAGGGTCCGAAACTTCCCCCTGGAAGAAAGGAGTGTTCTCCTTTTCCCCACCCCGGCTCACACTGCGAGGGGATGTGAATTGCAGTTCCTCACCATCCTTGCAGCTTCAGGGCAATCCCGAGAAGCAGGTCTTCTACTTCCCACTTAAAGATGAAAATGGGCAGGCTAAGCCACGAGCACAGAGCCACGGGACTGCCATGGGGGTAACGACACTGAGATGCGCTGGATAGCAAACCTCGGAGCTTGGCTTTGGCTGCAGGTGCCTCCCCATTCCCCACAGACCTGGGAAGGTGGCACCAGTAGTCCCAGCTGGTCATGGCCCAAGAGAGAGAGAGGGGGGTTCCAGGTTCTCCCTGGTGTCACCTCCATGCACCCAGCCCATCTCCCAGCTTGGAGAAAATGATGGAGAGTGGGTATGTGCCCTCGGCCATGCCTCGGTTCCTTCATCTCTACACTGGGGGTCACAGCGTCAGTACTCTCCCCCACCCCCAGAGGCTCAGACGCACAGCTGAAAAGTAAAAGCAATTCATCCTTGCTCTTCACATCTTAGGGGCCATGCCAGCAGCAGGGCATGGCTACACCCACCCCCTGTCCAGACCTCTCCGTTTCTCCCAACAGGAACTGTGAGAAATTCCTAGATTCACAGGCCCACAGCGCTGGAAGGGCCTGAGAAATTAACAGGTTCCCAGGCCACAGCCCTAGCCATGATGAAGAAACCCACACACATTGAGGAGGACCCCTGCTCATCTGCAGGGCGTGAACAACAGAAACCAGAGGAAAAGCTTTTCCTGGGAGCTTTTTCACTGCCCTGCTTCCCACCTGCTCTGATTTACTATTGTGAGAGATGTGAGCTGTCCACATGGGCCGTGCTTTCCCCTTTACACGTAGGAAAACCAACAGCTAGAAAGACTGGAACCAGAGATCTTGCCCAGGAAGACAGCGGCGGATCCACATCAAAGCCCAAGTTTCATGGCATAAAAGCCTGGTGAGTGCTGGCATAAAAGGAGCCCCCGTGGCAGCATACCAAGCCTGGCTCACACATCCTGGGCCCGGGAGAGGGGCCAGGAAGGTGAAGGGACCAAGAGGTCCTGCATGTCATAAGGACCTGAGTTCAGCAAAGTCCAAGCTGGCCCAAACCCCGGCTCTGTGCAGCCTCGGAGGTTTTTCAGGTCCCTGCTCAAGACAGTGGCCAATGGTCCAACAAGGATCCTGCCCTGCCCCACTCCAGCCCGTGGGAGCCAGCCAGAGATAGATCCTAGGGCCTAGATGAGCACAATCACTGCCCAGGATGTCCTCTGTCCCAAGGCCCTCTGTCCAGCTGGGGTCCTACTCCTGGGGTCCTGTCCTTTGCACCGTCCCCTCCATCACCCTTCATCTTACAGGGAAGCTTTAATCTGCCATCCTGACTTGCCAGGTAGGACCCTCATCGGGCCCCCAGTTCTGTTCTGGGTCCCAGGGCCCTGGAATCTATGAACTCCTGGGAGGCAAAATCCCAGAGAGAAAAGACGTGGGACGGAGCCTCATATGGAGGAGAGGTGGGATACAGCTCACTCCACTCAGCTTCCAGCCCAGAGAGTTGGGGCTGTGGTCCCAGCCTGCTCAGGACTTGCCTTCTCAGTGAGGAGGGCAGCGGGGAGACAGAGGTCTGCCTCAGTTTTTCCAGCAAGCTTTTCCTGCAGCCCAGACATGTCCGATTCCACTCCAGCCTATGGCTCCGTGCCAGGCTGGACAGCTCCCGGCCTGCAAGGCTACATTTCTAAAGTGACAGTCACCAGCCCCAAGTCCGTGCCACTCACTGCTCAGCAAGTTCCCCGGGGGCATGACCCCGTCGTGACCCCGGCCCGGGAGCGGCTCAGACCCGGAGAGAAAGTGGAAGGCGACCGCGGCGGGCATCGGACAAGAGTGTCCATCGCCACAGTCGGCGTCAGCCCACATCTCCCCCGGAGCCAAGTGTCCGCCTCGAGGTTGGGGAACCCGGGGACGCCGCCTGGCTGACAGCTGCTCTCTGTCGCCGCCGCATCGCTGCTGCCGGCCGCGAGTCGCCCGCGCGGTACTCACCTGGGCCGGGACGCCCGGGAGAACCCAGGGCGGCGCGAGGCGTGCAGCCGAACCGGTCCGACCCGGAACGCGTGCGACGCGCTCCTCGGGGCCGCGGAGGTCGGCGGAGTGGACGCGCGGGCTGCGGAGGAAAAAGCGGGCCGGGGCGCCGGGCCGGGAGGTGAGCGTCCGAGCCGGAACCGGGCTGCGGACCCGAATCCCGCCCGGCGCTCGCGGCCGCCCGGCCCCCGCGGGAACCGCAGCCCGCCGGCAGCGGCTCTGCGGCGGGAGGAGCACGCGGCGGAGCGGCTTCCCGGAGCGCGCGATCCCGCCGGCGGGAGGCGAGCGGGGCTCCGGCTCGCGCCGAGTGTGGGACCCGCCGGGTTCGGAGGCGCCAGCGCGGGGCGAGCGCGGGGCCCACGCAGCCCGGACGAGAGGGGGTGCGGTCCCGGTGCCGCCCCCGCGCCACTCCCCACGTGGCGGCCGCGCCCCCGGGGCGTGAGTGTGTACGCGGACCGTAGGGGGGCAGTGAATGAAGCCCCGGCGGCCAATCAGCGGCGCCGGCGCGCGGGACCCCGGGCGCGCGGCCCAATGGCGAGCCCCGAGCGGCCCGGCCGGGCGGCGGGCGGGCGAGCGGGGCGGGGCCCGGGGCCGAGGGGCGGGAGGCGGCTCCGCGCGCAGCCAATGGGCGGCGGGCGGGGCGGGGCTCCGGAGCGCTGAGCGGGTCGGGGCTTTAAGCCGGCGGAGCGCGGCGGCGGGGCCCGCAGACGGAGCGGAGCGGCGGCGGCGGCGCGGTGTAGGGCGCGGGGCGGCATGGCCACCACCGCGCAGTACCTGCCGCGGGGCCCCGGCGGCGGAGCCGGGGGCACCGGACCCCTGATGCACCCGGACGCCGCGGCGGCGGCGGCGGCGGCGGCGGCCGCCGAGCGGCTGCACGCGGGGGCCGCGTACCGCGAAGTGCAGAAGCTGATGCACCACGAGTGGCTGGGCGCGGGCGCGGGCCACCCCGTGGGCCTAGCGCACCCCCAGTGGCTGCCCACGGGAGGCGGCGGCGGCGGCGACTGGACCGGCGGCCCGCACCTGGAGCACGGCAAGGCGGGCGGCGGCGGCACCGGCCGGGCCGACGACGGCGGCGGCGGCGGCGGCTTCCACGCGCGCCTGGTGCACCAGGGGGCGGCCCACGCGGGCGCGGCATGGGCGCAGGGCGGCACGGCTCACCACTTGGGCCCGGCCATGTCGCCGTCGCCGGGGGCCGGCGGGGGCCACCAGCCCCAGCCGCTCGGGCTGTACGCGCAGGCGGCCTACCCGGGGGGCGGCGGCGGCGGCCTGGCGGGGATGCTGGCGGCGGGCGGCGGCGGCGCGGGACCGGGCCTGCACCACGCGCTGCACGAGGACGGCCACGAGGCGCAGCTGGAGCCGTCGCCTCCGCCGCACCTGGGCGCCCACGGACACGCACACGGACATGCCCACGCGGGCGGCCTGCACGCGGCGGCGGCACACCTGCACCCGGGCGCGGGCGGCGGCGGCTCGTCGGTGGGCGAGCACTCGGACGAGGACGCGCCCAGCTCGGACGACCTGGAGCAGTTCGCCAAGCAGTTCAAGCAGCGGCGCATCAAGCTGGGCTTCACGCAGGCCGACGTGGGACTGGCGCTGGGCACGCTCTACGGCAACGTGTTCTCGCAGACCACCATCTGCCGCTTCGAGGCCCTGCAGCTGAGCTTCAAGAACATGTGCAAGCTCAAGCCGCTGCTCAACAAGTGGCTGGAGGAGACCGACTCGTCCAGCGGCAGCCCCACCAACCTGGACAAGATCGCGGCGCAGGGCCGCAAGCGCAAGAAGCGCACGTCCATCGAGGTGGGGGTCAAAGGAGCGCTCGAGAGCCACTTTCTCAAGTGCCCCAAGCCCTCGGCGCACGAGATCACCGGCCTGGCCGACAGCCTGCAGCTGGAGAAGGAGGTGGTGCGCGTCTGGTTCTGCAACCGGCGGCAGAAGGAGAAGCGCATGACCCCCGCGGCCGGCGCGGGCCACCCGCCCATGGACGACGTGTACGCCCCCGGCGAGCTGGGGCCGGGAGGAGGCGGCGCGTCGCCGCCCGCTGCGCCCCCGCCGCCCCCGCCGGCCGCGCTGCATCACCACCACCACCACACACTGCCCGGCTCGGTGCAGTGACCCCGCCGGCCGGGACCCCGCCGGCGCGCGCCGCCGGGCGCCGCGCGGCCGCCACTCTTTTTGTTCGGTTGCTTTGGATTTTACAAAAAAAAAAAAAAAAGGAAAGAAAAAAAAAAAAAGCCCAGAAACTTTCGAACAAAACCAAACACCCGGACGACCCTCTCGGGCGAGCGGCGTAGACGGCCCGTCAGGCTGCGTCGCCAACCCGCGTAGAGAGGAGCGAAGATCCGGAACGCGCCCACTCACCGCGGGCATCCCGCCCGCCGCCTGCTCCCCGCCCCCTCCCCTCGACGACCCCCGCCCCTGCCCCCGCGGGCTGTTCGGGGCCGGATCCCGGCAGCGGCCTCCCCACAGCGACAGGTAACGCGGTGCGGGGTTAGGGATTCTCGGGGAGACAGCACGAAGAGAGGAGGGCCCCGCACCCGCTCTCCCGGGCGCGCACCCCGAGCCTGCGGGTCCAGGGGGGGACTGTCATTTTTCTCCGCTCCACGCCTCTTCTCTCCTGCAAGGATGCGCCCCATCCCCCTCACCCTTCCTCCGGGCTTGGATTTTTTTTTTTTTACTGTTTTTATTTATTCATGGAGCCGCTGGGCTCCTGGGGTCCTTCAAACTTCGCCCGCGCCCTTAATTTAAATCGCTGTATACTGTATTTATCGGGGCCCCGGAGGGGAGGCCGCGAGAGCCGCGTCTGTGTATAAAAGCAGGAAATAGCCAAAGCTTTAATCTAGCCTAATTTATTTTTTCCCCTGACCGTCCCTTTCCCTTACCCCCAAGAAAGCAAAACAAAAAAACAAAAACTAACAAAAAAAAAAAATTTGGAGTGTGCGGTTTTTTTTTTTTTCCCGTTTCGTTTCATCCGAGCCCTGCTCGGATCCTGGCCACGCCGAGAGGTCCGCGCCCCCATTCACAGTCGGAGGGGAGGGGGCTTCGCCCATCCCCGACAGACCGCCGCGCGCAGGGCCTTCGCTCCCCGCGGGGCCTGCCCTCCTGGCCACTTACAGACGAAACTTGGAAAAGTTGGAGATATTTTTTAACCAGCTGTAGAAATAAGCCGTTCCCTGGAAACCTTCTGCCTGCTCGTGGCAGCCTCTGTCCGCTCCCTATCCGTTCTCTGGGACACAGGCTGCAGGGCCGGCGGGGAGAAAGATCTCCCCAAGTTGGGGTGACGGGGGGAACATGTAAATATGTGAGATATGTACACACTGGCGGGGAGAAGAAACATTTTGTGCTTGGTTTTTATTTTTGGTTTTCCCAGTTGCCCTCCGACCCCATTCTAAAGGATTTTGTACAACGACTAACCCGAAAAGGATATTTTAATATGATTTCCAGATTTCCGACCCATCTCTATTTATTTTCTGGATGTGTTTGGAGCTTCCCCCTACTCCATTTCTTGTTCTGTTTGTTACCGTTTGAATTTAAATTTTGTTATTTTATTTTTATTATTTTTGGAACAATGTTTTGGTGCATTCTCTTTGTATCTTTATTGCAAAAAAAAATAATAATAATGTAGACTGGGAAGTTCCCTTTATATTTATGTTATAGTAAATATTTTATTACTCACATAAACATGTACCCCAGGGCCGTGTCCTGTTCTCTTTACTGTCAGGGCTGGATCAATGTGCGGGGAAATGATGGGGGACCCGGTTCCTCTCCCCTAAACTTCTAACTTCACTCTCTTGCAGAGAGGTCTGGGGACAGCCTGGACTTTGGGTTTGGGGTGGCGGGAGGTGGGAGGAACTCTCAGGAGCCTGAGTTTAGGGACAATGCAGCCACCTCCTGTCCCTTCCCGTAAGCAGACTTTAGAGAGCCACCAGGCCTAGGACACGGCGGCCAGCACTGACTTTGGCTCCGCCACTGCTCAGACACAACTCCGCTGCCCTTCTTCACCAAGGAAGAAGCCAGCCTCAGCCTGGACCACCTGCCTGGCACCTTTCCACCCCACAAGGGACACTCCAACCCCTGACTTCGGCTTCACCTTGTCCTTCACTTGGGGGTTAGGGGTTGGGGTGGGTGATGCTCGCCCTTCTTGGCCCTGGGGCAACTGGAAGCCCCTTGGGATCACACCCGCCCACCCCAACTGGCTCTCCACCCACAAACAAGTGGGGGCCCAGGCCACCTGGGCCCCTCAGGGAGCAGTAACACTGTGGGCAGAGTGGCCCTGCGGGAGCTGAAGGACCCAAAGAGGGAGCCCTGTCTGCACGCTCCAGACGCACTGCCCTCCTCCTCTGCAAACCGCCCACCTGCCCCAGATCCTCCATGGCACCTCAGCCCTACAGCTGGAGAAGTCGCCACCTCCTCTTCAGGGTGGGTCCTGGAAGGGCCCCCCCCCCTCCCAGGGAACAATGCCTCTTCCAGGGTGGGGCTCCAATGCCCTAACCTGGATGGGGAGGGGGGCACAGCGACTGTTACTCTCCCTCCTCTCTAGCCTCAATGCAGCCTGCACCCCTTCCCGTGTGAGCCAAAACTCATCCAAGCTCTTTTTCCTTTATGACACCCTTTCCAAATACCAATCAAACAGCTCATCCTGTTTCCTCCGTAGATGTGTCGCTTTTCCCTCCTCAGGAGAAACCAGCAGGTTTCTCTACCTCTTCGTGCACTGCACACCTGAAGCCGTAGTCACATGCCAGAAGAGAAAGTCGGGTCCCCAGTGAGGAGGCGTGTGTGGCCCCTGCTGCCGGGGGAGCTGCCCAGGCTTGTGAGAGGCCTCAGCTCCGCCGGAACATCACAAACACCCAGAAGGGTGTTCTCAGGTCCCCAATTTAGCTGCTCCTGGCTGGGGCATTTTGGTAGCTGTGCCGTGCCGAGAGGTCCGGTGAGTTTCTGGGCTGTATCCCTGGATCTTGGACAGAGCTGTCTCTGCAAGTACAAAGCCCACCGCGATTTTCAAGGGTGCAGACTCTCTTACTCTCACTTTTTTTCCCCCTTCTTCAGTCTTGCCTAGTGAGTGGTAAGCTCCATCATTGGCATCCGTATTCCAGCCAGTCCCCAGATTCCCAAACCAGTGAGCCTGCCCAAGCTGCTTCTTTTAGTGGGGAGAGGGAACACACCCATCGATGTGGTATGGGGACCAAACCCAAGGTTCCCACGTGCAAAGCGTGAGTTCCAGCTGAGACATCTCCTGGCCCCTTTTAGACATCTTAAATAGGCCAGAAACTTAGTGGCAGGTGACATTGTGGTCTGGGACCACTGGCCACCCTCTCTCTCGTTGCCTGATCTACTGAGCACGGAAGTTTGAAGCAGGTCCATGCTCCCCCAGGCTTCCTGCTGGTTTCTCCTTTCTAGCCTGGGTCCAGGCTCGGGGGCCCTGAAGTGGAAGCAGCCGTTCTGAACACTCTGCCCGCTAAGCCCAAGCAGACTCCCAGGTTGGGAAGGGTGAGGGCGAGGAGGAAGTCCGCCTTTCACCGGCCTCTGCCTGCAGCTGACACCAATTGATTGATTGATTTCCTAATTGTCTGCTTAATCCTGTACAAAAGGGCAGATTTATTATTTAAACAAGTTAACTCCAAAACAGCAAAACAATGTCGCCTTCTCAGACCAGCGGCAGCTGAGTAGTAGAACCAAAGGGAAAAAAAAATAGGAAACATGTGAAAGGAGGCTCTGGAGAAGTCCTTACACTTTGTGAGGATTTTGCAGAGACTTTAGCCTGAGACAGCAACCAGGGTACCAAACCCACGCTCACACCAGGCCACCACAGCCCTTCCCCGGGGCCTCCAAACTGGCGCAGCAGTGGAACCCGAGCTGATTTTACTCAGCCAGAGAGAGAAATATTTGGCCCCAGAGTCTTTCTCGCTGGACAGTTTAGGAAAGCCACAGTCAGCTCTGAACTTGACCGTGGGGTGTCTTCACCCCCATGAGGGTGTGAATCCACCTGAGAGCCAGCAGCAGCACTCAGCTCCTGGAAGCCTAAACTCCCCCTGACAGATCAGAACTTTTTTTTTTTAACCTCACCTCCCACCCACCCCCTTTTCTAACTGAACAGAATTCTTTCCTATGATCCTTCGGCCCCAGATTCCGTCACAGCTCCCAGTGAACCTCTCTGCTGTTGAATGAGTTTGCATGGACTGCATGTCCACAGCTGCTCCTAAGGAGTGACAGGGGGGAAAGCATGCCTACGGGACCCCTGCAGGTGGGTAGGCACCTACTTGGGTCCCATGTGGTCCCCTAGGCAAATCCCAACAACGGCCTGCACTAAACACGGTCTTCTCAAGGATGCAGAATTCTCCCCAGCCCCTGCCCCAGGAAGCCACACTTTTTCATTCATTGCATAACTTGGAGTCTATGCAGTCAGCCTTTCACCTCGGGTCTCAGCGGGGTCACCCAAACCACACTACCCTCTTAGAGCTGTTGAGAACTGAGTTTCCTGGCCACTGGAGAGCTGGTCACTGGGGACGCTCCAGTGTCATAATACCCAGGCTCAGATGTTCCCCAACAGGGCTAGAAAGGGGCTTGTTTCCTGGTCCAGCTGCTCCCGGGACACTTAGCGATGAGGAACCACAAGGGGGCCTCCTGCAGGGTGGCAGGTGAAAAGAGATCTGGTCCCTATCCTGCATCTCGCACCTTGACATCTCTGCGGGCCCTGGAGTTGGTGCCTGGCAGGCCTGGCGAAGCTCCCGTTGCTGCCTGGCAGACCTCCATGTGTGAGGACTGCCCTCTATTGGTCCTGATGCTGGGACATGGCAGCAGTCACCAGGGCCACCTCACAGTTGAGCATCCCCCAAAAATGTCAACTTGAAGTTGGCTTCCCATAAGAGATAAGTTAAAGCAGAAGACCCTGTCACCTCCCAAGTCAGAAACCCTGCTCCTCACACTCACCAGGACAGCCTGGACCCCATCTGTCCCCCGTTGCCCATCCCATGGCCTCGAGGAAACTCTCCATCACAGAGACCCCCTCATCTCTTCCTCAGCACCAGCCCCTTTCCTCCTCCTCAGCCAACTGAAACCCTGATCACCTGCTCACCATTTTGCTCACACCTGGGGTCACACCCAAACCTCAAAGGGCTGCCAAGAGCCAGGGTCCTTGGTTCTGAGCACTCCAGTGCTGCCAGGTACTTGTTCCTGGACCTATGAGACTAAGCACACATGTGCACACAGACAAACGCACGCTCACACAAAATCAGCCTAGACTGCCTCTGCTGCAGTTCCCTTCTCTCAAGCTTTCTGAGCGAAATCCCACAAACTGTTCTCCAAACTCGTTCCTGCCCACCATTGTTCCCTGCTCCTCCCAGCTACCTCCTGCTCTCTCCCGATAATTAAAGTTGGGCTGTGTGTTTGTATGTATGTCTGATCTTATTTTTCAAACACACACCCCCACACGTACATATGCGTGTATATATACAAACACACACACAGCAATTAGATCTCTGCATTCCTGCCGCCGTCCCTAGTGTGCCGCGAAACCTCCGCTACACACACGTCCCCACATCACCACGCGATGAGCCCCACATCAGCTAGTCACGGGCTCCTGATGTCACACACACGCACGCACGCACACGCTGGCGCTTTTTACAGTGACACCTACCCTCGGCCTCCCGGGGACACAGTCCCCTCCCGCCCACCTCTGGGGCATCTGAATGGGCCCCCCTCTTTCAACGAGCTAGGTCCCAGGAGAGCTCCGTCCCGGCACCCCGCTGCACACACCCTCAGGGGCCTGTCTCTAGCTGCTCCTGACCAGGGTGGGTCTGAGCATTATCAGGCAGCGGAGACAGCACGGAGGCATATGGTCTCGTACACAAGAAATAATGTTCATGTAAAATCAGCCCTCATGCATAATGCATGGTGCCTGATCTCACATTATTCTGGGTGTTCGTCAAAATCAGTGTTCTTTCTTGTGAGGGCTCCTGAAAAGAAGGGGGAAAGGCGTTGGCTAATTGCGCCCACAGCCAGGACCTGGGGAGCCAGGAGTGCGAGGCGCCTCATGCTGCCCCCACCCCGTCCCACCCGTGGGCCTCTCGCTCTGGCCTTCCACCTGGAAGGAGGGGTTTCGTAGCAGGTGGAAGGCCCCGTGTTATTTTTATTTCTTTTCTCTCGGCTTTCTGTCCCCGGAGGGTTCTAGGGAATGGCAGTGGCTCGGC